GTCATTCTGTGATTCTGTAAGGTTCTTCTGCCTGAGCACGGGGTTGGACTAGATGACCTCTAAGATCCCTTCCAGCTCTCCCATCCTAGGATTATGTAAGGGTCTCCTGTTTGAGCTCGGGGTTGGACTAGATGACCTCTGAGGTCCCTTCCACCACTGCCATCCTATGATTCTGTAAGGGTCTCCTGTTTGAGCTGGGGGTTGGACTGGATGACCTCCAAGGTCCCTTCCACCTCTGTCATTCTATGATTCTGTGACGTTCTTCTGCCTGAGCAGGGGGTTGGACTAGATGACCTCTGAGGTCCCTTCCAACTCTCCCATCCTAGGATTCTGTAAGGGTCTCCTGTTTGAGCTGGGGGTTGGACTAGATGACCTCTGAGGTCCCTTCCAACTCTCCCATCCTAGGATTCTGTAAGGGTCTCCTGTTTGAGCTGGGGGTTGGACTAGATGACCTCTAAGATCCCTTCCAGCTCTCCCATCCCAGGATTCTGTAAGGGTCTCCTGTTTGAGCTCGGGGTTGGACTAGATGACCTCTGAGGTCCCTTCCACCACTGCCATCCTATGATTCTGTAAGGGTCTTCTGCCTGAGCAGGGGGTTGGACTGGATGACCTCCGAGGTCCCTTGCAACTCTGCCAACCTATTATTTTGTAAGGGTCTCCTGCCTGAGCAGGGGGTTGGACTGGATGACCTCCGAGGTCCCTTCCAACTCTTGTCATCCTAGGATTCCTGCTTACATTTTGTTCCTCGGCCCTACGGTTTATCCAAGCAAGAAACTAGAATTATAAGCTCATTTTTATTCCCCGCCTGGGTATTTTTTTTTTATTTTTTGTAATCATCCTTTTTTTTAATAACAGTCTGTCATCCAGCTTATAAAGCATCGGCCTTTTTAATTGCTAGGATCAAATTCGGAAAAGTTTAGGCTGGGCGCAGCTAGTAATTTCCTTCCCCCCGGAAAACGATCCTATATGATTAAAACAGGAGAGGGGAAAAAAAAAACAGCCTTGCTGTTTGCTTTGCCGGTGGAAATCACAGAGGCAGGTCCCCGACTTACGACGGTTCGTTTAGCGGCCGTTCCACGTCACAACGCCGTTGGAAAAAAAAGGGATTGAGGACCGGCGCAGAACGGCATTGAAAGGGACCGTTTTGCACACTTAGCGACCGTCGCAGCGTGTCCACGCACAAACACACACACGCGCGCTTGGCCACTGGCTGCTATTTACGACGGTCGGGGTGTCCCCTTTTGTGACCGTCGGACCCGCAAAGCCAAGGGGGAAGACGGAGTCGCTTGACGAGTGTGTGGACGAGTTAATGTCTGCGAGGATTCGCTTTAACGACGGTGGCCAGGGAAGGTCCTAAAACGGGGAAACTCACGTAATGACTCGCTTAGGGAGAGAAATGGACGTATGCCGAGGACGAGCTACGTGGAGAGATCTCGTCCCGTCTTTTCTCTTTCTTCGATGGGAGAGTTCAAATCTGGAGGGACTGGAATATGTGGTTGCTGAACAGGCATTCGTTTGGAAGTATATGGGTCTCCTGCTGGAGCAGGGGGTTGGACTAGATGACCTCCAAGGTCCCTTCCAACTCTTGTTAGTGTATGATTCTCTAAGGGGCTCCTGCTTCGCCAGAAGGCTGGACTAAATGACCTCTGAGGTACCTTCCAGCTCTGTTGTTCTGTAAGGGTCTCCTGCTTGAGCAGGGGGTTGGACTAGATGACCTCCATGGTCCCTTCCAACTCTCTCTTTCTATGATTCTGTAAGGGTCTCCTGCTTGAGGTGGGGGCTGGACTAGATGACCTCCAAGGTCCCTTCTAACTCTTTTTATTCTGTGATTCTATAAAGGTCTCCTGTTTGAGCAGGGGGCTGGACTGGATGACCTCTGAGGTCCCTTCCAACTCTGTCATCCTAGGATTCTGTAAGGGTCTCCTGCTTGAGCAGGGAGTTGGACTAGATGACCTCTGAGGTCCCTTCCAGCTCTGTCTTTCTATGATTCTGTAAGGGTCTCTCGGTTTAGCAGGGGGCCGGACTAGATGACCTCCAGTGTCCCAACTCTTTTTATTCTATGATTCTGTGAGGGTTTCCTGCTGGAGCAGGGGGCTGGCCTGGATGACCTCTGAGGTCCCTTCCAGCACTGTCATCCTAGGATTCTGTAAAGGTCTCCTGCTTGAGCAGGGGGCTGGACTGGATGACCTCCAAGGTCCCTTCCAACTCTCTCTTTCTATGATTCTGTAAGGGTGGTCCTGCTTGAGGTGGGGGTTGGACTAGATGACCTCCAAGGTCCCTTCCAACTCTCTCTTTCTATGATTCTGTAAGGGTCTCCTGCTTAAGGTGGGGGCCGGACTAGATGACCTCTAAGGACCCTTCCAACTCTTTTTTATTCTGTGATTCTATAAAGGTCTCCTCTTTGAGCAGGGGGCTGGACTGGATGACCTCTGAGGTCCCTTCCAACTCTGTCATCCTAGGATTCTGTAAAGGTCTCCTGCTTGAGCAGGGGGCTGGACTGGATGACCTCCAAGGTCCCTTCCAACTCTCTCTTTCTATGATTCTGTAAGGTTCTCCTGCTTGAGCAGGGGGCTGGACTGGATGACCTCTGAGGTCCCTTCCAACTCTTTTTATTCTATGATTCTGTAAGGGTCTCCCGGTTGAGCAGCGGGCTGGACTAGATGACCTCTGACGTCCCTTCCAGCTCTTTCATTCTATGATTCTGTAAAGGTCTCCTGCTTGAGCAGGGGGCCGGACTAGATGACCTCCCAGGTCCCTTCCAACTCTTTTTATTCTATGATTCTGTAAGGGTCTCCCGGTTGAGCAGGGGGTTGGACTGGATGACCTCCGAGGTCCCTTCCAACTCTGTCCTTCTGGGGAAACGATCTTTGGGATCCTGAGCTGATCCACGCCGCCTCGCAAGTGTGCAAATCTTTGGAAACCATGCACACAACCGGGGATCCGTGTAGAGTCAATCCTCTTCGCCCTCTCCGGAGCGTGGATTTCTGGATTCGAGGTTCTGCTTTTTTTTTTCTTTTTCTCCCAAGCCGGCCTCGGCGTTGCCGTGCCGCTTGCTTCTTCCTTGGGGAGCCCCCAAGACCTTGGGGAAACCTCGTCTCCATGGTTCCCTTCCTCCTCCTCCTCCTCCTCCTCCTCCTTCCCTTCCGGTTGTTTATCCCGGCTTCTCCCGGCTGGCTTCGGCCTTCCTTCTCCTGCAGGCCTCGCATAATAATAATAATAATAATAATAATAATAATAATAATAATAATAATAATAATAATAATAATAATAAAGTTGGAAGGGACCTTGGGGGTCATCTAGTCCAACCCCCTGCTCAGGCAGGAAACCCTATACCATCTCAGACAAATGGCTGTCCAGTCTCTTCTTAAAAACTTCCAGTGTTGGAGCATTCACCGCTTCTGGAGGCAGGTTGTTAAGCAATAAACCTGTTTAGTTGAAAGCTTCCCGTGCACCAGCAATAAACCAGTTTAGTTGAAAGCTTCTTGTGCGCAGGCTTTCAGCAATAAACCAGTTTAGTTGAAAGCTTCTTGTGCGCAGGCTTTCAGCAATAAACCAGTTGAAAGATTCCTCTGCGGAGGCTTTGAGCAATAGACCAGTTGAGTTAAAAGATTCCCGTGCCTAGGATTTCAGCGATAAACCAGTTTAGTTGAAAGCTTTCCATGCACCGGCTTTCAGCAATAAACCAGTTTAGTTGAAAGCTTCCCGTGC